TAGCTCTGACCCCCAGGCAACTTTATTTATTAACATACAATTAAAATCACATTTCAGTACAAGTAAAATACCACCACACATACAAAACCCTTTAGTCCATTCACTTTATTCTTCTAAGTCAAAATCTCTCTACACAGCTTCAGTTCTGTTCTCATACTTAGCTCCTCTCTGTCCCTTCCTCTCCTCTCCTCTCATTGTTCTAAATTCCTTCCATCTTTGTCTCTCCCCAGTCCAGTTTAAACACACATATAATCCACAATTCTCTGGCTCTGCCTCTTTCTGCTTGGGTGGGCCAAGTCTGCTCAGTAGCTAGGAAGCCTGTGTCATAGCTTGATGCATCTGGTATGTGAAGCCCTTTTGTTCTGAGTTAGTTGTTAAAGGGGAAGTCTAGAGGTACCATTTTGGGATATGAGAGAAAGAAGGGGTAAGCTTAATTTCCACAAGAAGCAAAGGTTTGTACCTAACATCCTCCTGGCCTTGGCGGTTGTCTCCATATAGATATTTACCTTAATTCAGGAGACTAGTAGGTGGTCTGGATGCTTGTCTTATCTACAATCTGTCCTTAGAAAGTCTGAGAGGTATCTCAGATAAAATCCTTTTTTTTTTTTTTTTTTTTTTTTTGGTTTTTCGAGACAGGGTTTCTCTGCGTAGCTTTGCGCCTTTCCTGGGACTCACTTGGTAGCCCAGGCTGGCCTCGAAGTCACAGAGATCCGCCTGGCTCTGCCTCCCAAGTGCTGGGATTAAAGGCGTGTGCCACCACCGCCCGGCCTCAGATAAAATCCTTTTGTCCAGAGATGGCCCTAGCTGGTGTTGCTAGTAACGATAATTACAGAAAGGCCTGAAATTAGGGGTCTGACTGTGTGACTGCTTTCAGCACAATTGGGAAATGTATATCCAAATACTTTCATTGTATAGGGGAAATTGTGCCCAATGGATGATCAAACACACTATTCTAGGAATGGAAAAGCTACAATAGCACATGAGAAATTCATAGCAGGAAACAGCTAATATTTAAAAGCCAACATCATCAAGACTCCTTAAGCCTTGGCTTTATCCTCTGGAAGGCCCTTGGCTTCTTCCAGGTATAGCTTTGTCATAGTCAGCTGAATTCCTACTTCATATTTCTGTGGCCCACAGCATCCTCACAGATTATTCCGAAACCAAGAACAGAGGTTAACTTTTAGGAGTCAGTTCTCTCCTTCCACTATGAGTTCCAAAGATTCAACTCAGGTCTACTGCCTTGTGAGGTTTCACACCTTTCCTGGCTGAGCCATCTTGCTGGACTAATTTTTTTTTTTTTTTTTTTTTTTTTGCTTCTGAGTCTCATGTAGTCCAGACTGGCCTCAAACTCAGTTGCTGTGTAGCCAGAGGTAACCCTGAACTTCTGGTCCTCCTTCAGGGTGCTGGGATTAGTGGTGTGTGCCATCAACTAGCTTTTATGTGTAGCTGGGGATCCAACCCAGGGAGGGCTTCATGTATGCTAGGCAAGCACTACCAACTGACCTACATCTCCAGCCCTACCTTAATATTTTAGGTCAGCATACAAAGTGTGGTTTTCATTGTGGCATCTTACATGTATGTCATTGTACGTGGGCCTCGTTCATTCCCCTCCCCCTCAGCTGGCTCCCTCTCTTCCCTCAGGCTGCAGTTCTGCTTTTGTGCACTCCATTGTCCTCCTTCCTACCTCTCTCAGCATCTCCCTCCCTCTCATGAGCCCTTTTCTAGTTTCATGATCTACAAATACAGCTATGTAAACACACACACACACACACACACACACACACACACACACACACACACACACACACACACAAATTTAAATTAAAAATTATCCTGGGACTGGACTGATGGCTCAGTGGTTAAGGGCACTTGTTGCTCTGGTAGAGCACCCAGGATTGATTCCCAACACCTACATGGCACTTTACAACTACCTATAACGTTGTGGAATATTATTTTAAGATGTATTACATTTGTTTATGCTGTGGAACGTTTGTTTTAATGATGTAAAGATGTGTTGCATTCTTTTATGTTGCATTGTTTAACTCTATGAAGCTGTTTACTTTGCCTGCCTAAAACACCTGCTTGGTGTAATAAAGAGTTGAACAGCCCAATAGCAAGGCAGGAGAAAGGACAGGAGGGGCTGGCAGGCAGAGAGAAGAAATGGAGAAAAAGCAAGAGAGATCAAGGAGCAAGAAAAGAAGGGGCCAGCCACCCAGCCACCCAGCCACCCAGCCACACAGCCAGCCACTGAGTAAGAGTGAAAGTAAGATTACAGAAGTAAGAAAAGGAAAAATCCCAGAGGCAAAAGGTAAATAATCCCATTTAAGTTAAGGAAAACTGGCTAGAAATAAGCCAAGCTAAGGCTGGGCATTTAAATAAGTCTCCATGTGTATTTATTTGGGAGCTGGGTGGTCCCCCCCCCCAAATAGCAAAGAGCCACAAAGTAAAATAACAAACAACTACACTAGAACACTAGTTCCAGGGAATCTGATGCCCTCTTTTGACCTCTGCAGGTAGCAGGCATGTATGTGGTATACAGATACACATGTAGGCAAACATTAAAGTTAAAATTTTATTGTTTAACTTCTTTCTTTGTATTTCTCTCTGTCTCTCTGTCTCTCGCTGTCTCTATGTGTGTGTGTGTGTGTGTGTGTGTGCATGTATGTATGAGTGTGTTAGGGGAGACCAAAAAAGTACATTGGATATCCTGGAACTGGAGTTACAGGTTGGTTGTGAGCCACTCTGTGGGTGCTGGGAACTGAACTCAGCTCCTATAAAAGAGCAGAAATTGTTCTTAACCACTGAGCCATCTCTCTAGCACTATTTATATAATTTTAAATCTCGGATCTGCATATGAGAGACCATAATGGTCTTCATCTTTCGAATTTACCTTTTATATTTGAATTTACCTTATATATTTGAATTTACCATATATACTTTGTTGCATTCATTTTCCTGCGTATGTCATGATTTCACTAAAAAGAAAAACAACTGTTGAGTAAAATTCCACTGTGTGTATGTACTGCATTTTCTATGCCCGTTCATCTGTTGGTGGACACCTAGGCTGGTTCCAGTTCCTGGTTATTGGGAACATGGGTAAGAGTCTCTGTGGTACGCTGACTTAGAGGCTTTTGTGTATACCCAGGAATGGTGTACGTGGTCGAATGGAGTTCTAGTGTCAGGAACTCCCACACTGATTTCCATAGTGACTAACATTTTCGCACTCTTGGTAGCAGAGAACAGAGTTTTGTTTTCCTCTAGTCCTTCACGACATTTGCTTTCTTGATGATGCTCATTCTGACTGGGGTGAGATGGGTTCTCACAGCAGTCTTAATTTGCATTTTCCTGATGGTTAAGAATGTTGAACACTTTTTCAAGTACTCATTGGCCACTTGTCTTTCTTTTGAGAATTGTCTGGCCAGTTCAGCAGTCTGTTGATTGATAGAATGATTTGTTTCATAAAAATTATGAACAGTTGCAAATGTGTCTAACCCTGTTAAATATAGTATATTTATTTAGCCGCCCCTAAACACAGCTACATTAGCATATGTTTGGGAAAAATTTCAAGTAATAAATCCAAATTTTTAAAATAATAGTTGACTATCTCATATAATTTATTGAAAAGAGCCAACTTCTAAAAAGTGGTTTCTGCTGAATATGTATGGATTCCATACTACCATTAAGTTAAAATCTAAAATTGAATCATTATAGGTTGGCATGGTCAGTATCTTCACGTCATTTATCAATATCTGATATTCTGATTAATCTATTAATTGTCATTTGGAACTTTCATTATTCTACTTAGTGTCCTGCCAGGAAGGATTTTGTGTCTTTGGTTGGCACATGGCAGTAAACTTAATACCAAAGGTTGACTTCTGATCTCCACACTCACACACATGAGCCTGCACCTTCATACACATGTGCACCACCACCCCATATGAATGAAAGAAAAGATGACTATCTGAAAAATGGATGAGCATGGGATGTAGCAAGTCTTTCTCTGTCCCGCCAGCCAGCTCTCAAATAATGACATGGAGACTTCTCATTAATTATGAAAGCTTGGCCTTAGCTTAGGCTTGTTTTTAGCTAGCTCTTATCACATACATTAACCCCTTTCTATTAATCTACATTCTGTCATGTACTGCCTTTCCTGCTTCTCCCGTGTCTCCTGGCTTCTCTGGTATGCCCAGATTCCCCTCCTCTTCCTCTCTCTCCCTGGAAATCCCACCTATACCTCCTGCCTAGCTATTGGCTGGTCAGCTTTTTATTACACCAATCACAGCAAATACATCGTCACACAGTGAACAAATATCCCGCAACAGTGGGAAGTGAGAAATAAACCAAAACTCCATTGGAGGAGGTTGGGGGTGCATCAACAGGGGTGTGTGGTTTTAGCATGCAGAAGGCCCTGAGTTCGAACCCTGGCACCTTTTAAAAACCAAACAGGTCGAGCATGTAGGGGTGCATGCCTGTAATCCCAGCACTACAGAGATCAAGGCTGGAGGATTGGTACTAGTTCCTGGAGCTACTACAAGTTCTAGGCTAGTCTGGGCAGATAAGATCTTGTTTCAAAAAAAAAAAATCAGACCGAAACCAAAATAAAAGTCAGGGCGGGGAGATGGCTCGGTAGCTAAAGGCACCAGCCGCCACTCCTAATGATGATTCAGTCCCACTCAAAGGGTAGGAGAACTGACTCCCTGAATAGTCTTCTGACTTCCACATGGCGTCCCTCACTAAGTACGTAGATTAAAAAATAAATGTAATTAAAAAAAAAACAAACCCACCCAAACCAAACAAACAAAAAAAGTCCACAGAAAACATGGAACTGTCAATTACCAGCACTTTAAGAGTTAAAGGAGAGCCGGAAAGGTGGAGGGGGCGTGGCGAACAAGGTGTGGCGAAGCAAGGGGCGTGACAAACAAAGGGACTGTCTACGAGCTGGGGCGTGGCGAGAGAGTGGGCGTGACAAAGGCGTGACGAGGGCGGAGTTGACCGGAAGCGGGGGCGGAGTCCCAGGAAGTGACGCCCCCTGCTGCGGCGCGGAGACTTTGGCTAAGCGGGCGACCTTTAGCCGGCGATGGAGAACCGAGCGGTGTACGGTCCCACAACCGAGGCGGCCCCGGGTGCCGGCAGGGGCGCGCTCAGCGGCCTGGCCGCCTGCTTCACCCTGGGCCGGCTCCCAAAGTCTCAGCGCGTTCTCAAGGGCTTGCAGCTGGTGAGGTCAACAGCGGCGGAGGACGAGCGGGCGCTGGGTCGGGGGTCGGGTCAGGGCCAGGGCCCGAACCAGGGCCGGGACCTGTGGGCTAGGGAGGATGCCTCGAGGCTGCTGCTCGGCCTCGTCGTTCTGGAAGCAGCCGTTTCCACACCGCAGTTCCTTCCCTTTCCAGTAGGGAAGGGGGCGTTGCCGTCCGCCTCCTTCCCGTAGCCGGGCCCTAGTTCATCTCCCCCATCCACCGAAACCTCCTTTCCCTTCTCTCGGCTAACACTCTTTCATTGTCTCCGTGAGAGCCTGTGTTTTAGACAACGAAGTGCTTTCTGTTTATCTTTTTTGGCTTTTGCGGTTTTCCGGGTGCTCGCCCAGTTTAACTTGTCGGACAATTTGTGTTTGGGTTTAACTTGTACAGTGGGTTCGAGGTAGAGTCAAAAGGGCATCTTTTCTGGTTCGCGTGTGCCGGGGACAGAACTAGATTACAGCATGCTTCTCTTTATTTTTGGCAGTTAAGCCAAGGTGTGAAAATAGACATCTTTGATATTTAAATTATGATCTAATTGATACTCATGTGGCGTTTCAGGGTTCTAACTCAGCTGCCAATGGATATTACCTTTTTCAAGAAGACAATTCTAGGAAAAGCTAGACTGTTTAGAATGTTTATGGTTTTTGCTTTGTTTTCTGAACCGTTTTTGCCGAACAAACAAAAAACCAGCCCATGGGTTTCCTTGGGAAGATTTGAAATTCTTAAAACTCTGATAACCAGAACTCAACATTCTTGGAACTCAGCTGACCTACTTTCCTGGAGTAGAAAAACAGCAGTTAGAAAACTGGCACTGCTTTTAGTTGCGAGAGGGATCGAAGCTGGGGAGAGGAGGAAATCATGTGGAGACAAGTTAGATAAAATGGTGTGTGCAACCCTAGAGGATCTGGTCCTGTGTGTCCCTCCGCGCCCTCCTGGAATGGCCACAGTGGGGGATAAAATGGTGTGTGCAACCCTAGAGGATCTGGTCCTGTGTGTCCCTCCACGCCCTCCTGGAATGGCCACAGTGGGCACCTTTAGGTTCCTAGGCACCCGGGTTCCCTCCTGGCATTGCTCCTTTACAGAACCAGTTCCTTTTACACGGATGGGTGTGGTTTTGTTCCCCTCCCTCCACCTCCCCTTCTCTCCTTCCCCTCTCCCTCTCCCTTTACCCTTCTCTCCCTCCCTCCTCTTTCCTCTCTCCCTCATCCTCTCTCCCTGTCTCCCTCTCTCCCTCCCTGCTCTCTCCCTTCCTCCTCTCTCCCTCTTTCCACTCCATCTGTCCCACACTTTCTTCATAGAGTCTTAGTAGTACAGATTAGCTTCACACTTATTCCTATATTGTAGAGGATGATCTTGAACTTCTGATCTTCCTGCCTCTACCTCTCAGTGCTGGGATGACAGGTGTGCTCCATGCAGTTTATGTGGTGCTGAGAATTGAACCCAGAACCTTGTGTGTGCTAGGCAAGCACTCTACCAACTGAGCCATTCCCATAGATCCAGGTTCACTTTCTTTTTCTCTTCCTCTATGTAGTCCTCACATATTTTCTAGATACCTGCTGTGCTTCTCTGCAGGAAAACACATGTTTCTAATGAGACTTTTTGGACAGAGAGAAATTACTGTACCGCCGAAGCATTCTCGCTGCTCCAAGGAAATCATCCCTATGAGTCTGCTGTCCATTAAATCTCTTATTTTCAGTTGCTTTTATTTTTCTTTCTAATAAAAAATGCTAAAGCCAAAGTAAAAGTTCTCATTACTTTATTAACTCAGCAGGCCTTAGTTCTTTGTCTTCAGAAGAGACCCAACCAGAAGTTTTGCCCGAACTTTACAGTTGGACCACAGAAGTCAGTTTGCCTTGAAAAGGTTGTTAGCTATTTGCCATCATTCCTAAGGAGAAATGGGGATAGCACAAAACACTGTCTCCGTTAAATTCATTCGTTATGGGTAACTTGTAATGTTACAGGCATGCTTTTTTTAACACAGAACTTTAAACACATCTTTTTTTGTTGTTGTGTTTTGTTTTTTGAGACAGGTCCTTTGGAATTAGAGTTACAGGTGGTTGTGAGCTGTGTGAACTATATTGGTTTGTGTGTGCGCCCACATGTGCTGTGTGTGTGGAAGGCAGAAGTCAATGCTGGGTGTCTGCCTCAAGGAGACAGGTCTCTTCTGGAAGTTGAAGTTTGCTGATTGGGTTGTACTGGCTGGCTTTTTTCTACCTCCCCAGGCTCTGGTCTTGGGTGGTGTAGCTGCACCCCCTTTTCCTCTTTTTTTTTTTGGTGGCGAAGTCTTGTGTAGCCCTAACTGGCCTTGAATTCCCCATGTAACTGGGAAACAGTCTTAAATTCTGCCTCTGCCTCCTGAGTGCTGGGATTATAGTTGTTCACATTCAGCTTGCAGCTTTTTTTTCTTTTTTTTATTAATGTGGATTCTAGGGAATCAAACTTAGGTCTTTGTAATTGCACAGCCTTACTGGTTTTTCTTGTTTTGAGACAGGGTCTCAGGTAGCCCTGTTTAAATGATTGACCTTAATTCAGAAAATAGCTGAAGGTGTCCCTGAACTCAGGATCCTTCTTCTTCTATCTCCCAAGCCCTGGGATTGTAGGGTGTACCACCATGTCCAGCTTTTGTTTTGTTTGAGAGAGGATCTCACAGTGTAGCCCAGGCTAGTCTGAGGCTTGCTGTGTAGCTCAGGTTTACAGTGTCCTCCCACCTTGGTCTTCTGAGTGCTAGGATTATAGGCATGTCCACTGTGCCTGGCTTCAGTTATATGTTATTAATTTTTTTTTCTTTTTAGATCTATTCTGTGTGTGTGTGTGTGTGTGTGTGTGTGTGTGTGTGTGTGTGTTTGTGTGTTTTGTGAGGCTATGTGCATATGAATGCAGGTACCTGCAGAGGTCAGAGATGTCAGCTCCCATGAGTCTGGAGTTGCAGGTGATTGTAGGTCACCCTGTGTGGATGCTGGGAATTGAGCTCAGATACATCCTTTGCCAAGAGCAGTAAGTGCTCTTAACTACTGAGCCTTCTTCCCAGCTGCTTCTTTTTTTTTTTTTTGTTTTTCGAGACAGGGTTTCTCTGTGTAGCTTTGCGCCTTTTCCTGGAACTCACTTGGTAGCCCAGGCTGGCCTCGAACTCACAGAGATCCGCCTGGCTCTGCCTCCCGAGTGCTGGGATTAAAGGGCGTCACCACCGCCCGGCTTTTCTTCCCAGCTTCTTAAAACTATTTTTTAATAGTGTGTTCTTCTCTAAGTACATGTAATTTATAGAGGATGATGCCTTCTAACTAGTGCCAGACACTTAAAGATGTTTAAGGGGACAGACTTACACCGTACAGGACTAGCTCAGGTTCTACTGTAAGCCCAGATGGGAAACTGTTCTCCCGACGATCCTTGCTCTGAATGCTGTTTCCTCTAGTCATGCCCAGGTAGAGAGACTTAGAGAGCTAGCTGCATTGGGCCTTGGCTCAGCGCTCACTAAACAGTCTCTAGTATGATAAGTGCTTGCTGTTAGTAATGGATGTGTTTACCAAGAGAACAGCGAGGAGCCTTTAATCGAATTTGTTTCTTTGCTGTATAGGGGACTCTTACTTCCTGCCTCTGACCACTTGTGAAATGCTGGTGACCACTATTTCTTGAAATTCTTCCTTCTCTGATTGAGCACATTCTTTTTCTTTATTTAATACAGAAGGTATCTGTTTACCAAAACAAACAACTAAAATATGATTAAAATAAAATAAAACATCCCCATCAGACTCACTCTTAGGCATCACTGTTGGGTAAATTGTTTGGAGTGTTTTTACTTGCTTTACAAGTTTCCCTTTTTATTTTAAAAACAAAACCAAACCAACATATCCTGACTTACTTATTCTGTGCTCTTCAGCTTTTACCTCCTACCCTTTTTTGTTTGTTTGTTTTTTGTTTTTCAAGACAGGATTTCTCTGTGTAACAGCCCTGGCTGTCCTGCACTGGCTTTGTAGACCAGGCTGGCCTTGAACTCGCAGAGATTTGCCTGCCTCTACCCCTGCTGGGACTAAAGGCATGCGCCACTACCAGCCCCTTTAACTCCTACTCTTGAACTGGGGGACTCCCTTAATTCCCAGAGTCCTGTATTTCTCATCACATAGCCACACCCACTCCTTTCAAATTTCTTGCCATTCCCATTTAGTTAGGTCAGTACCTCTCTGGACTCACCGGGCAAGTTCTTGCCCTCATGAGTCTGTCCTTTCTCCTCCAACTGGGAATGTCTTCTCCTACTCATGTGTGTCTCAACCCTGGTTTGAGTCCTGTGTGTTCATCCATCCTTCTCTAGCTACTCTGGGCATTTCCCTGAAAATTTCTCAACTTCACAAGGACTGCTCAGTTGTGTGGTATAAAGCATTGTTGCTTATTGTTTCTTGTGTTGCTCTATCATTACAGCTCATATACAAACCCATTGTTGTTGCATAGTATTAAAGCACACTCAGTACTAAAGAGGGAATAATGCTGAGGGGGTTATAAAAGAACTGTAGAGGGAGGAGAGTTTCACATTGACAGTAGTGTGTGATGTTAAGTTCTTGGCCTTTAAAACCTAGAGATAGAACTAGTAAGTGTTCAGCCTGGATGTTGAACCCCATCATTCTTCTAGGATGGCCAGGCAGAGCCTGCCTCTTGTCAGTAAGAATGCCTCTTGTTAGTACATAGAGCAGGGCTCCTGGTGGCCTGGGACCCTCTGCTTCTGGGGAGCAGTCCTGCCCTCTTTCCAGACAGGCACCCTGTGTCTGTGCTGCAGGTCAGGCATCACTGTCTTGCAGCTCTCACAGGAGTGTGTCAAGAGCAGCCAAACAGAATCCTCAAGTGAAAGTTTACTCAGTCATCTGGCTTAGAACTCTAGCCAAGAATTACCTCGAACTCTTGATCTTCCTGCTTCTGCTTCTCAGGTGCTGGGATTACAGGAGTTCTCACCAACCTGGCTTCAACTGACTTTTATACACATAGGTGTATTTTTGTTTTATATATATGAGTTTTTTGTTTGCATATATGTCTGTACTTTTTGCATGCTTGGTACTCAGGGCAGCCAGAAGGGAGTGTTGGATCCCTTGGAACTGGAGTTATAGACAGTTGTGAGCCTCAGTATGGGTGCTGGGAATTGAACTTGGGTCCTCTGAAAGAGCAGTCTGTGCTCTTAACTCTGAGACATCTCTCCACTCCCATGTAGGTATGTTTTTCAGATATTTCCTAGACTCTTAAACTTGGATAAACTTAACATATACAAATACAGCAAGTAGAACCTTAGCCATTAGGATTCATTGGACTCTCATCCTGAAATTTCATACTGTTGCTACCAGCACAGGAGGTTAAGGAAACAGTTACGTGTGATTTGTCTCAGTGTGTCACTCCGTATCCTGTGATGTGATGGTAGGGAATGACTCCATCAACATTGTTCGTGATGGGGTGTCTACTTTATGAAGTGTTAATCTAATTAATCTTTATCAATAAAAAAATTGGGAGTCAAATATCTGTGTAAGAACCTGAAAGATCAGAGAAACAGGGAGCAGCTGCCAGTTGCTTCCTGTCTCTACTGTTCCTCTGTCCAAAAAGGCCAAGATACTCTCTCTGCCGTGCCTTACTACTTCCCGTTTCCTCTCTGTCTATAGTCCTCCAAACCTCTATGATCAGCTAGTGGCTAGCTCCACCCTCTGACTTCAGGCGAGCTTTATTTGACAGAACACAATCAAAATATCACATAACAACTTTATGTCTGGTTAACTTCACAGGAAACCAGAGCAAAGATGTCTGTTTTTGTTCTGGCGTAAAATCTTTTTAGTTGTGAGGTGGGAAGTTTCCCTTTGAACAGTTGTTCTCAACCTGTGGGTTGCAAACCCTTTTGGGAGTTGAACAACTTTCACAGGGCTTTTTTCTTTTTTGGATATAACTTGTTTTTTGAGACAGAGTCTCTTATAGGCCGAAGCTGTCCTTGAACTCTTGATTCTTGACCTCCCAAATGCTGAGATTTCTCTCTCTCTCTGTAGCCACACTTCCACTGAGCTCTAGACTAGTCTCACCATTTGCCTTCCACTATACCTCTGCCTAACTCTCCCACTGATTCCTTCATTACAGCACATAAAAAAAAAAAGATTTGCTGTGCATGGTGGCGCTCAGCCTTCTCTCCTGAAGTCCCCTTTTTTGGCTGTTACAATGCTCTCATTTATGAGTCTCTGTGTTTGACACACAGTAGTTAACTAGTGTATGCAGACTGTAAATTCTCTTGATCAAGTGTGTCCGCCAATCTTGTTTGCCCCAGTCTCTACTTTACAAATATTTGACTGAACAGATAGTGAGTTTAATTTTTTTTTAGAAGGGGATGGCCTCACTGTCTTGGCAAGGCTGGCCTTGAACTTTTGATCTTCCTGTGTCAGCCTCCCAAGTGTCTGAGTTTACAGGCACGTGCCACCAGGCACAGCGTCCATGTGGTTGTGACTGTCATGGGTTATCTGCCTCCCTGAGGTCACATGTTTCCTTCTGCAGCTGCTGTCCCTGCTGGCCTTCATCTGTGAAGAGGTTGTGTTCGAGTGCACGCTGTGTGGAGGCTTGTACTTCTTTGAATTTGTGAGCTGTAGCGCCTTCCTCCTGAGCCTCCTCCTGCTGATTGTGTACTGCACCCCACTGTATGACAGGGTTGATGCTGGAAAAGTCAAATCATCGGTAAGTGGGGAGACACGGCCCCGGTCAGGCCTCTGGCTTGTCGTCACACCTGTTTAGTGCTGCAGTAGTCATGTTTCAGAGCAAAGCTCTGGGAAGAGCACTGTCCGTGTTTAGCACTCTGCGCCCTAGCAACTCGGGCTCCCCTTCAAAGATGGAGATGGGAAGTGAGTCTAGAATGAGAGCCAGAAATCACCAGTGATGTGTGGTTATTGGTGCCTTCACATAATTCATGTTAGACATTTTGTTGTTCTTTAAGACAGGGTCTCACTAGCCCAGACTAGACTTGAACTTGTGATCCTCCTGCCTCAGCTTCCTGAGTGCTGGCATTGTAGGCTTGGGCTCTCATGCCTTACCTGAACATTTCTTAGAAGTTTGATTTTTGTCACTTTTTGTTCCTTACATTTTGGGGTGTCGCTCATGCACTCTCTAGTTAGGAGTTGTGTGCCTACTTCCTTCCAGACATCACACTGTGTCCGGGACGTAGTGATGAATAAATGAACACCACAGGCTTTTAAACAGAGCAACAGTGATTCGGTCTGTATTTTGCTTTCATTTAATTTTATATAAAAAAGGGTGTCTTTAGGTAAATAAAGAAGATATTTGGGGCTGGAGGGATGGCTCACTGCTTGGGAGCAGTGGCTGCTCTTCTGGTAGACCTGGGTTCAATTCCCAGTACCCACATGGCAGTTCACAACTGTCCCATTTCCAGGGGAGAAAAGACTGCTGAGCTGTCTCTCTAGTTCACAATAAAATAAATAAATAAATAAATAAATAAATAAATAAATAAATAAATAAATAGAATGTATTTGTTGGTTCACTGTTAAGATGTTTCCTAGGTTGGGCATGGTGGCACACATCTTTAATCTCAGCAGGTAGATCTCTGTGAGTTCGAGGTCAGCCTGGTCTACACAGTGAGTTCCAGGACAGCTTTGTAGAGAGACTCTATCTAAAACAAATATCTCAAACAAAGAAACAAACAAACAAACCAGGACAGCTTTGTAAAGAGACTATCTAAAACAAACAAACAAACAAAACAAAACGAAAGAAAGAAAGGAAAAGAAAAGAAAAAATATATTTTCCTTATAATGCTGGGAAAGCTTCATTTTCACATTAGAGGTGCTAAGCTTTCTAGTGGCAATCTGCTGACCCATGGTGCTTGCATATGATTTAGATTTGATGGCTGACAGATGAAATAATTCATTTATCCCCTTTATATTCATTTATTTAGGGCACACTTGCACAGTTGATTTCTTAGGCAGTGTTTGGGTTGTCAGCAGTCGCTTGTGGAGAATGTGTTGTCAGGATTGACATAATTAAAGAGTTGACATCTCCAGGCAAGGATGAAAAAGTTTATTATATTTTTAACCATTAACAGGAGAGAGCAGTATAAAAAGAAGCCATATGATTCTTATATTTTAAATTGATGAGACGTTGGCATAAGGTCAGGAATTGATCATATGCTTAATATACTTTTTTCTGTCTTCTTTGTGGTGCTGGAGAACTATTTAAATTGAATTCCTTTTTGTACCTCACAAATTTTATTCTGTAGGAATCTGTTGTCTTAAAAAGGTTGGGAAATGGGGCTGGGAAGATGGCTCGGCAGGTAAAACACTCAGTTCACAGATGTTAGGACAGGGATGTGCGTCCTCAGCACTCACGCATGACCACATCTTTTCCCCCAGTGCTGGAGACAGACTGGACTAGCCAAGTCAGTGAGCTGTGTTCCGGTGAGAGATGCTACCTTGATATTAGGTGAAGAACATCTGGGAAAGACATCTACCTCCGCCTCAACATACGCACACATATACATGCAAAACAAACAACAACAGCAACACCCTCCCCCCCCCCAACTGACTCAATATAATTGAGTTGATAGAATACTTACCTGGGTTTGCAGTGAAGCCTGAGCTTTATGAATTGGTGTGGTTTTACATGTCTGTAATCCTAGCAGTCAGGTTCTAGAGAGAACTTAATCCACAAGGTTGCCCTCTGGCCTCCACACACAGGCAATGGCATGCTCTGCCCCCCCCCCCCCCCCACACTAACAATAAGAAACAAACAAGAAGCCAGGCAGTGCTTCTTGGTGGTGCACACCTTTAATCCCAGCACTTGGGAGGTAGAGGCAGGTGGATCTGTGAGTTCCAGGCCAGCCAGGGCTACACAGAGAAACCCTGTCTTGAAGAAACAAGAAACGAACAAAAAAAATAAAAAAAAAAAAATAAATAAATAAATAAAAAGAAACAAGAAGTTAGGTGATTAGAAAGTGGTATAGCTTGGATTTGAACTGAGGTAGTCTGCCTTTAGAAGCTATGTTTAATTGAACACTGCATCTTTTTTTTAAAAAAAATAGGAGGCTGGAGAGACATCTTTCCAGCCCCAATAGTGCATTTTTCTTTATCAAGATGTTTGTCCTAGGTAGACATGGTAATCCCAGCATTTGGAAGGTGGAGGCAGGAGGATCAGAAGTTAATGGCTAATCTGGGCTACATGAGAACTTGTGAGAAATAAGCATAAAACCACCAAACAAAAGTTTAGCTAAGTGGCAGTGTTTGCCTAGCATTCACAAGACCATAGGTTCACTCCCTAGTAACACCATAAAAGAAAAGAAAAACCTATTCAAAAATGAAAATGGACTAGGTATGGTGGCATATGCACCTAGCACTCAGGAAGCAGAGGCAAGTGGTTAGAGCTCTGTGAGTTCAAGGCCAACCTGGTTCACATATTAAGTTACAGAACAGCCAGGGCTACATGGTGAGAGCCTGGCTCAATACCTCCCCCTCTCCCCCCCACTGAACCCAGGGCCTTGCGTTGCTAGGCAAGCTCTCTACCACTGAGCTAAATCCCAACCCTCAAAAAAAAAATTTTTTTTTGTAATATACTATTATGTTCAACTTAAAGTGGATAGTGTTTGCATGCAGTCTTGTTGAAAAGGTACCTGGCTAGCATGTTTAAATTTGGGTTGCACCAAGAAAATGTAAGTCGTTCAAGGGTTTTTGGAATTAAAAATGTTAAACTTTGTGTCTGCTTTTCTAACCTATTGTGTTCTTGGTTTCTCTACATGTGCAGGATTTTTACATCACCCTGGGAACAGGGTGTGTATTTCTATTGGCGTCTATCATTTTTGTTTCTACCCATACTGGGACCTCACCTGAAATTGCTGCAATTGTAAGTACTTCGCATTTTTAACCTTACTATGTTTGTTTCCTTAGAAATAGTGAATTTAGAAAGTTCTTGGTAAGTTATATATAGGAGTATAATTTTTACTTATTTGTTTATATTCATGATGTGTGTGTTTGTGTGGGGTAGGCACCTGTATGCCATGATCTGTGTGCAGGTAAGGGATGAGCTTCAGGTTGGTCCTGTCTTTTTAACTTGTTTGAGACGGTCTTTTCACTGTGTAGCCAACCAGCCCTCCTTTTGAGATAGGTCTCACTGTGTAGCCCTGGCTGGCCTAGAACTCACGGAGATCTAAGTGCTGGTATCAGTGGCATGAGTCAGCTCACCTGGCCCCATTAGCTTCTTGGAATGTCCAGTTTCCACTTCCCATTTCCTGTAGGTGTTCTGGGATCTGCTTTTGATACTGTGTCTGACTTCGGGGACCTGAACTCAGATCTTCAGGCTTGTGTGCCAAGCGCCCCCCCCCCCCCCCCCCCCCCCAGCCATCTCCCCAGCCCGAGAGTAGTTTTTTTTTCTACTTCAAATGTAATACTGACTAGAAGACCTTGAAGTAACCAATTCGGTAGTCTTCGGAACCTAGGAACCTGCCTGCAATTTGACTGAGTTTTGTTACAAAGTTTCTTTACGCTGCATAGAGACAAGTGTCTGCTAATGCAAATGGCAAGGTGGCCTTTGTCGTCAGACACTTTTTTTGCCCTTTAGTACTGCGTTAGGTGCGGTGCAGAGGCACTCCGGGGCAGAGGCTTGTGGGGTTAGCCAGGCACCTTGGGATGGACTGTTGGAGAAGCTTGTCTGCGTGCGCTTCAGTCTTCCTTGACTGCTTCTTTAGATTTTGTTTTTCTTTCTTTCTTTCTTTCTTTCTTTCTTCTTTCTTTCTTTCTTTCTTTCTTTCTTTCTTTCTTTCTTTCTTTCTTTCTTTCTTTCTTTCTTTTCTCTCTCTCTCCCTCCCTCCCTCCCTCCCTCCCTCCCTCCTCCCCCCCTTTTCTTGTTTGTTTGTTGCAATACCGGGGATTGAATTTAGGACCTTATATATACTAGGAAAGTATTCTACCTCTGCGCTACAACCCCAGAATTATGTCTTGGACTTTGAGATAGAGTCTTGCTCTATAGTCTAGGCTAGCCCTGAACTCACTATTTATTTTTGGTCTCAAACTCAGAAGTCTCTTGCCTCAGCCTCCTGAGTACAGTGATTCCAGGCATATGCTGCTAAGGCCATCTGGAGCAATCTTTAGCAGGCTACACATATCTTTAAAGTCTAATCAAGACTTTGTGCTAGGCAGAAATAATTTTTGAGGAAGTCAGTCCATTTTTAGGTTTTTAACCTTTACATGGAATCAATTTTTTTTTTTTTTTTTTTTGAGACAGGGTTTCTCTGTATAGCCCTGGCTGTCCTGGAACACACACTGTGGACTAGGCTGGCCTCAAACTCAGAGATCTGCTTGCCTCTGCCATCTGAGTGCTGGGATTAAAGGTGGGCACCATCATGCCCAGCATAATCAATCATTCTTGAAACTAGTACCGTGACAGTTCTTCCGGTGGAGGAGTTTGACCAGTTCTCTCCCATTTCCTTCCCCATAGCACTGCTAATCCTCCTCACCACTGTAAAGTGACAGGTACACTTGCCTGTCCCAAATCCTGCTGCTGTGTGACGACGCCTTGACAAAGGAGGGGTTCGGGGAAGAGCTAATTTCATTGGAATCCTTTGGGCCAAGTGTTGTGGGGTTTTTTGTTTGTTTGTTTCTCTGTGTAGCCTTGGCTGTCCTGGAACTCACTCTATAGACCAGACTGGCCTCAAACTCTGAGATACTCAGGCCTCTGCTTCCTGAGTGCTGAGATTAAAGGCATGTGCTACCTGGCTCCAAGGTTATTTATTTATTTTTTTTAATTTGTATTATTCTAGATTTTAGAAAGGTAGTACTTTGTATGTTCTGTATTATCCAACACCTTTAGAAGGCCTGGGGCAGAACTCTATAATCCAATTTTAATATTTATGAAGGGAAACACATGAACATCTGTAAGTGAAGACTAAATAGTCTTTGTGTGAATTTTGAGCCAAGCAAATCAGGAAAGCTGAGTTTTGTAGCTTTACAGGTCAGAATTGTGAATGAAGGGTAGTGGGCTGTACTGACTGGTAGCAATGTGGCTAGTGTGAATGACTGACTGACACAGGCTGACAGACCTCCTGCAAGTCAGCAGCTTCCAGTGCTTTGTAAACAAGGGGACTTCAGCTAGGGCAGCTGTCGGCTGTTAAGCCTTGGGGTGTTTTGTGTGTGTGTGTGTGTGTGGTGTGTAGGTCAGAGGACAATGTGGGTGGTTTTTTTTTTTTTGGTTTTTCGAGACAGGGTTTCTCTGTGTAGCTTTGCGCCTTTCCTGGAACTCACTTGGTAGCCCAGGCTGGCCTCGAAGTCACAGAGATCCGCCTGGCTCTGCCTCCCGAGTGCTGGGATTAAAGGTGTGTGCCACCACCACTCGGCATTTTTTTTTTTTTAATATTTAAAAACTGTTCCATCTGTGTGTGGGTGTGTGTACATGTGTGTGCAGGTGCCCTCAGGCCGGGGTGTCAGATCCCGGGGAGCCAGAGTTAGAGGAGGTTGTCAGCCTCACAGCATAGTGCTGAGACCTGACCGTGGGGCCTTTGCAAGAGCAGCAGCATATCTTCTTTACTAGAGCTGCCTCTCTAGCCCACAGCCTTGTTTTTGGAGACAGAGTTTCTCACTGGGAATTGGCCAAGTAGATTAGGCTGGCTGGCCAGCAAGCCCTGCCAATCTGTCTTTCTCTGCCTCCTCAGTATTGGGATTATAAATATGTATCACAACATCTAGCTTTTGAAGTGTGTGTGTGTGTGTGTGTGTGTTTGCACGCCATAACATACATGTGGTGGTCAGAAGACTTTGGGAGTCAGTTCTCTCCTTCCATCTTTATGTGGGCTCGTACTTAGGTCATCAGGCTTAGAGCAGCAGGTACGTTTACCCATGAAGCCATCTTGCTGGCCCCCTTTTTCATTTTTATTTATTTATTTATTTTTGGGTTTTCAAGACAAAGTTTCTTTGTGTAGCCCTGGCTGTCCTGGAGGTTACTCTGTAGCCCAGGCTGGCCTTGAACTCAGAGATCTGCCTGCTTCTATTTCTCAAGTGCTGGGATTAAAGGCGTGTGTCATCAGGCGATGGCCCCCTTTTTAAAATTCAGGTTTGAGGAGACTGAATTCAGGTGTTCATGCTTGCGAGGCAAGAATTTAATTGAGTGAGCTATTACCTTGTCCCTGAAACTACTACTCCATATGGTGCACAGACATCCATGCAGGCAAAATTCTCAGACACAGAAAAGAAACAGAAGTAAAACCTTAAAAAAGAAAGCGTTGAGAGAGTTGCAGATGGTGCCTCGCCAGCCTGGTTGGTAAGGGACAGACAGGTACAGTCAAGCCACAGCAGACTCCAAAAGGGGACCGACCTGCCTATGGCAGTGAGTTATAAATTAGTTTGTCTTGCTCTGCTGGGGACATCAAGTGAATAATGCCAAGCTCGGTTTGCTGTGGTGAGATGAACAGTGTGTCCTTCAGAGTGGAGGAGCTGAGCAGAGAAAGAAGCCAGAGACCACAAGAGATGGCCCGGTCATCATGGGAGTGTGAGCCAGCTGTGGTCCTGCCTTCAGCCCTAGCATTTTAGAAACTCAGGCAGAGATTGAGTCTGAGGCCAGCTACCTAGGAAGCCACCCCACCCCCACCCCACCCCACCCCCACCCCCGCCGCCGCACTCCTCCCCCCCAGAGAGCACAAAGTCATGGGGGAGGCAGGCTGGAGGTGCAAGAGACTTGGTGTTCTTTCCTTCCTGTTTGGTCTCCACTTCCTCCATGGTTTTGCTGGTGAGGAAGCTAAATTTGAAGCGTGGTCTTTTGTCTCTTGACAGAATTCTCAGAATGTTTAGTCATCTGTTAGAATAATACAACGAGGAAGTGATTTAAGGAAGAGGAAGTAACACTGTGTTACTACAGTGTGGCAAGTAACTAGAAAATGTATTTTAGGTAATTTAACCGAGTAGTGTTTTTTTTAAAATGGAGTTTTTGTTTTGATATGAATAACTTCATCTGTCTTCACCTAACCTGAGTTGTAAATCACATTTCCCTTATCACATCTGTGGGTCAGTCAAACCATTGCTAATAATCATGTGTTTGATACCATTTTGTGGAATCTCATTTATCTACAGGCCTTAGTCTCATTGATTGACATCCCACATAGACTCCTGCGTCGATGTTAGATGGAGCAGAGGCTGCGACATTGCAGCTAGTAACGCTGGCCTCCCCATAGGACTCGGAGACCTGACCTGGAATCCACCGAAAAGATAGGGAACGGGGGTTGCCTTCCTTTTCCAGGTTTCAGAGTAGGATGCTGTAAGAGAAAATAGGGCTCCACTCGAGGAATGTGGGGTTTGTAGGACAGAGAGAAGTCTGACCACACTTCAAGGCCAGCTTGGGCTGGCAGGGCTGCAGAGTGGTGTGTCTAGATCCCTTCCATGCTACCTTGACTCCTAAAGTGGCCAGATCTTAAAACAGCAGGTCCAAGATGTAGCCTTTCCAGCCTTTTGTGTGAAAGACATGGCTTTACAGGACAGGTGGAGGGGTGGGGCGCAGGGGATTGAGATGTTGCCCCGGGTCTGTCCTGCTCTGTCAGATACAGCTAGTAGGGTTGAGACCTCTTGAGAGAATAGGAAGTGTTGATGTGTCTGTGGATAACAGAATGAAGCAGGGGATCGTGTGTGTGTGTGTGTGTGTGTGTGTGTGTGTGTGTGTGGGTGTGGGTGTGTGGGTGTGTGTGGGTGGTGGTGGTGGTGGTGGTGGTGGTGGTGGTGGTGGTGGTTTGTTTTTTTCCCCTGAGACAGGGTTTCTTTGGTAGCCCAGGTAGTTGCCTCAAACTCACGGAGATCCATCCACCTGCCTCTGCCTCCCAAGTGCTGGGATTAAAGGCATGTGTCACCCACCATGCCTGGCAAGGGGGG